TAATATACGCAAACGTTCTGTCTCTTGATGAGCCACCACTTCTTGATTATACCTAGCTTGTGCAGCTTTCAACTCAAGAGTCAAACTAGCAGCTTCTTTTTCCAATGCCGAAATTCTTTCAGTTAATTGTCTATTATCCATGATAGCTTTTTCTTCTTTCTCGCGGCTATGCTCGAGTTCAAGATGAAGAGCAGAAAGACGGTTTTCCAATTCAACTGTTAAAGACGATGCTTGCGACCGCGAACTACGCTCTTTTGATAATTGCCCCTATGAAAGAATACATATATAAAAATAAAATCGTCTTCTAGGAAACGTAATTCTTCTAGATTTTTTCAAATTTATTCAAAATTACTCAAGTAGAAAAATCAAAAACATTCTAGTACAAACACGATAAAATGTTCGATCCGACTAAGAAATCTAAAATCATATTAATATAAATACACACTTGTAGTGTTGCCACTTCCTGTTGCAAGTTATCTCGTTGCGCCTGCAACTGTGCTCTCGCTACCTGCAACTCGTTTGCCATTTGTTCTGCAGCTTGACGAGCCACGGTAATCTCTGTAGCTTGTTTCCGTAACCTCGTTACGGCTTCCGTTTCTCTTTCCAATTTTGATTGCATTTCTTTAATTTGTTTTTCTAATGTTGTGACACGTTCAGAAGTTTGTTGCGAATTGCTCGCATCGCGTGCTCTTTTCGTCTGCTCTTCGTCAAACTTCTTCTTTAATTCTACAAATAACGACTCTGCCTTCCTGCGCAAATCTGTTTCATGTTCTACCCTACGTTGTGCTTCTTTGTAATTATGTCTCAACAAAGTCAATTCTTTGTCCGCTCTACCTATTTCTTCTCGTAATTCAGTTTCCCGACGTGTCATAGCTTCTAACTGGGTCGTCAAAGCTTTTTGTCTCGACTCCAAGGACTCTACTTGCCTTTTTTCTCGGTCCAATAAATTTTCTAATTGAGAAATTTTAATATCATCAGTTGTACCATTATTGATATGATTCTCTAATCCATCTACCGATTCTTTGCCACTAGCAGCCATTAACTGATAATCTCCTGAATATGTGAAACCAATAAATGGTAGATGATTTCCAGAAAATGCTTTGGGTACTGGAAAACTTTCCTCTGGACCATCTTCCTTATCAACGTCATCAAAATTACTGGTATCATCATCACCAGAAAGTTCTGGTACCACTGGCGGCACGCATTCGCGTAAATTTTCAAAAGTCCACTGATCATTTTTGAAAAAATGATGACTTTTTATTTCATCTACGCCATTTCTTCCCAAACGCTTAGTTCTATCCGTAAGAAAACCGCGTATCAAATTCTTGGCAGAATGAGAAATATCAACTTCTTGAGGAAAGTGTAACGAATTTCTATGATCCATAATCTTTGAATATGTTTCAACTAATGAATCTGCATAAAAAGGACCATCACCAACGAGCATTTCATACAAAAACACGCCAACTGACCACCAATCACATTCCCTTCCATATACACCTTCACCACCTTGAGACTGAAGCACTTCAGGTGATATATAATCAGGTGTACCTACTGCTGTATCAGACCGAACAAGTCCATCCTAAACAGTACAACAATTAAATAGTTTTATAAATTCATAATATTTTACTTCATAAATTTAGCAGAGGATAATATAAAAAACTATACATACAGCATCCATTCTCATACAAGTGCCAAAATCTGCAAGTTTTAAATGACCATGCTTATCAAGTAACATATTATCTGGCTTTACATCTCTGTGAACAAATCCCATAAGGTGTATCGCATCTACCGCAAGCACCACTTCCGCGCAATAAAATTTTGCCCATTTTTCTGGCACATCATAGTTCGACATTAAATTTACTAAATCACCACCTGGCATATAGTCCATCACCATATAAAGATACTTTTGATCTTGAAACGCAAAATGAAGTTGAACTATCCATTGGGAATTGGCATGTGCCATTATATCACGTTCTTCCCAAAAAAAAGCTGAATCCGATCGTTTAATCTAAAAAAGAAAAAAAACGGGAGATCGTGAGACAGGAAATATATAAAGGCTCAAATCGTTATTAAAAATACATATATATTTCTTACCATTTCAAATTTACTGAGTAACTTCATAGCATATACTTTTTGCGTAGACTTGTGACGTACCAACTGTACTTCCCCAAATGCCCCACGACCTATCACTTTTATCAGAGTGAAGTCATCCATACGCATTCGCATTTTACAAATATCCTGGGCTACTGAGTCATCTGAAAGCATAAACAATTATTTCCTAAGCACTTGTTCTTAGAAAATCTATGTTGTCATCAGATTAGCTCAGCAAATGTATTCAAATTTTTGCTTTGCATTGCAAAGTACCATTAACCAGTTAAAAGTAGTGTAATCCAATTTTATATAACATGTTCAGATTCAAAAATTCATTACCAAGAATACTTTTACTAAAAGTATAAGCTTTATTAATGAAGAATCAAAACTGTTATCGCTTTGTAGTTTTGACATTCAAAAGAGTATTTGACATGAACATTTTTTAGATTCATGAAACATATTAAATACTTACATCTATTCATATATGCTTCTATATTTTTCATACGTTTTACACTAGGATGCTCACAATCTGCCACTAGAGCTTGGACTGTATCCAATAAGCAATCAATATTTGTAACACTTCTCGGATCTTTTATACGTTCCTCCAGCACCCTCAGGCGCCTGCGCCTGTCCTCATCTCGTACTGCATCCATTTCTCCTATTAGAAGCTAGGAATAATTTGCCTCAAAAATGAGTTGTTCCTCCTCATGCATCAAAAGCAATGCAAAACAAATGGCTACATGCAATGCAAGCACAATTTATGCATTGTTGCAATACTGGATGGACAGTCCATGTTTCCTAAAACAACAAAAGAATACCAATCATATTAACTTCTGCCACAGAAATATTTACATTGGTTACATATTTATAAACTACAATATTAAACAAGTATTTCATAAAATCAAAAGTATGGTCATTGCCATATCGTTTTATAAAGTCAAGATAAAATACACAAGTGTTTTAATACATGGTAATCACCAAAGACAATATACATGTTTTGTTTATGATAAATGTAAACTAATTATACTACTAATTTGTAACATATGTTTGTATTACTTGATATGTTATAGAAATAAAAACAATTTTGAAGTATGAAAGAAGCTAAACAACATTATAATAAAAATCTTACAGTGAAAGTTGAATAAAACTGTTGCTTTCATTTTCGCTTTTTATTAAGAAAAAAAAATGGAATAAACCGAACAAAACGAAATTATACTTGATAAGTACAAAAAAAATTGTTGAACATTACAAAACACAATATATGATAATTTAAAAGAATTTGTGTATAAAGAACGATCGTTAAGAAACAATAATTAACGAACTATTTTAAAAAATAGAATCTCTCGAGTAATATTTATTATCTAGTTTTCACTTTAAATTGAATATCTAGTCGCAAACAAAACTATAGAAACTCGTTTTGTCACTTTCGTGGAAAGAATTTGTATAGCGAGATTGCGAGTCACGGGAACTATAAAAAAAAATCAAAGCTGAAGAATCTTTCTGCATGTTGATATTTAAATAGAAAATAAAAAATCCACAAACTGACAAGTCGAAGAAGTCTGTCAGGAAGCTCGTAGAGCTAAGGTGGATCCCATGCAGGTGCTTCTGAACCCGTCACAAAAGATTTCCTACGGATCCCGTATCTTTCCATAATCGGTTAATTAATGTCAGAAGAAAATCCACTTTAACGTACCTAATATCACGAATACCGTGTCCAGTACTCCGTCTAATTGGATAAAAATACTATAAAATACATTATGTTTCTACGTAAATTGGTTGCGATTGCACACAGCTGAGCCGTGCATGCGCCATTGGGAAAATTCACAACGGTCATCAAAACCAATGAAAAATCCGCGGAAAACTTAAATCGTTCAGTTCGTGTTTCGATTCATCTACAACGACCACGAAGAATCCTTAATCTATACTGTAGAAAACTGACATTTATTCCAGACAGACGAAATCTCACATTATTCCAGTTTAGAATTTATTAGCATCTTCAAGGATATTTTAGTTATTTGCACTGTATCCACCGTTTGAATGTCCGTTTTGTTTCGAAATTAGCAACATATAAATCACCCTTTCTCCATGTATGTACATTTATTTGCATCAGATCAAGCTTAGAATGTACCGCGCGTATTACCAAAAACTACATTAAAGTGGTTTGAGACGGAGACGGAGCATCAACGACTTCGGAAAAACGATGTAATGGCACGGACCTGAAGGACGATGCATACTGTCGTGGAGTTGTAACGACAGATGGAAGGAAAATCAACCTACAGAGATCCATCAGCCATCTTACTTTGGTCAACTAGTGGCGCCAACCTGTATCAATTATTCGCCTAGATAAATACCTTTTCTATTATTATATGAGTTTATCCAAGACTATAGAAAGCTATTTTTTGCTGTATTCATTTTTGGGGAAAAATTTAAAATATCCAACAGCGCGTTAATTCAAACCGACGCTTGAAGGAATGCCAATTTATTCCGAAATACATTTGGCATACAATTATAGTTTCAACAAATAATCGAAGTAAATAAGCTTATGAAAAAAAAATGAGAAAAACGAAAACTTTGAATTTGAATCGATACATGTACAATAGAATATGTATAAGGACATAAATGGGAATGCAAGAGCGTATCTTTAATCCACGCAACTCGAAGACTATAACAAGTACATAGTAATAATTAACTTTTTCGCTAATATACTAGATTGGATTATTTTGATATTGATATAAGATCTATGGACGCGTTGAGATGAAGTAGAAGACATTTTTCAAATAAAATTGTTTTATTTATTGGCTGTGAAAGTATTATACATATTTACTTTTCTTTATGTCATGTGAAAGATGTACATTTAAATATTGCCGCGTTTCAAGCATTATAGTTGACCAAAGCAAAATGGCTAAAGGTCATTTCAGAGGTCACTTACCCCCGTAATTTGGACTTGACTCTTCTTTACCATAATAATACTTTCTGTTCTGTACCGTTCTTCAGGTTTGTGTGTAATGGAGTGCAAGAATAACCAAAATGGCGTAGCATTTCACACACTAAGCGAGATGCGGGTATCTACCAATCTACATTTCTACTATCTGCTTGTTACTCGCTATTTCTTTAAGTAATTGAAAAATCATCTTTAGAAGTGGAACTCTGAGTGAACTACGCAATCGAAACTCGTGCAGTGCGCTATACGGTTCTGTAATATTAGAAAAATACTTAGTTTTCCCGCGCGTATTTTGATGCTCATTGACTCGTTCTACGTATTTTTTTTGGCATCGTTTATGTCATATTTTGTATTTATAGCGATAACACGTATCGCATAGAGATAGGTATGTACATGTAGTCATTATGCTCAATTCGTCAATATATTATTCATCAGATATTTAAATCTTCATTTACAATACGTTCTTCTTCTACATATTTTTCTATGAAAGCCTTGCATTTTAAAGGATTGGCGTCTTCTATTCATTTTCTTTGTCATCGCAATTTTGATCATCGTGTAACTGTGGATTTAAGTTGATTTTATACTAAAAATCTGTGGAAATGGGTCTGCCGTGTGATTGGCAGATCAGCAAACAAAAGATCTCTGAACGTGGTCAATATCTATTGGAGACAGGACAATGGTCGGATTGCAATTTTATCGTTGGGCAAGAACCTCATCAACAAACACTAAAGGGCCACAAGTTGTTTTTGGCTATGTCTAGCCCTGTCTTTGAAGCAATGTTCTTTGGTGGCATGGCAGAGAAAAATGATCCTATACCAATTCCGGATGTTCAACCAGAAGCCTTTAAAGCTCTGCTAGAATATATATACACAGACCGAGTTGATTTGGGTTCTTTTGAGTTAGGTTGTGAATTATGTTATTGTGCCAAAAAATATATGCTTCCTTCGCTGGTAGAGAAATGTACAAAATATCTATGGTCTGATTTGTCACCAAAAAAAGCCTGCAGAGCTTATGAATTTGCCAAGTTATTCGAGGAACCTGTGCTTATGGAAAAATGTCTCCAAATTATTTGCACGAAAACAAACGAAGTTCTAAAAGAGACTAGTTGGAAAGATGTTGAATTAGGAACACTTTTAACAGTTTTAGAACAAGAAAATTTACAAATAAACTCTGAAATTGAATTATTTTATGCTGTAGAATGTTGGGCAAAAGCTGAGTGTGCAAGGAAATCACTTGATGTCAATGACAGAAAGTCTTTAAAATCTGTAATTGGAAATGCTTTATTGAAAATTAGATTTTTAAGTTTAACCCCTCAAGAATTTGCGGAAGGGCCAGGAATGTCATTATTACTTACCAAAGATGAAGCTTTTGCAATTCTTATGAATATATTGTGTACAGGAAATAAAGCACCTATGCCTGAAGGATTTTCAACTAATATGGACCGCAGAGTTAGGGCAGTAGAAACTCGAATACCATCTCAAACTGAAGTAAGTTACACAAGTATTCATAAGTTGGATATTGTGTTTTGGTACTCCACATGAAATTTTTTTTCTTAGAGTTATTTTCGATTAGGGGGTCCACATTACTATGAGCCCAATACTTATTTTCGTCATGGACAATTAAGAGAGAACAATATACCAGCGGTTGTACTCAAGGACAATAGACGAGAGAGTCCAAAGTACTGCCTGAGATCAGTACTTGAAGAAATAGACTGTCTCAATACAAATGTATTAGACTCATCTGTTACCTTCAGTGTAGATAAAAATATTTGTATATTAGGTGTACAAGTACCTACACAAATACCTGTTGGAGTAAGTGCATATATCAGAATTAAAAAATAAATATTGAAAAGAATGGTTTTTGACTCTTTTGGCTCCTTTGTTATAAACGAAAAGATAAAGACCATTGGACAGTAGAGAAAAAACGCAGAGCCAAAAATCAGTTTTATCATTATTCGTCCTTTAATTGGATTTTAGTTGATATTAATTGCTGCATATTATCTACTTATTACAGGGTAACAATATGAACCATGTTTTGAGTCTTGCTACATCATACACTGAAATTTTATATGCTCATCTACTTGATTCCGACGGTGCTCGTTTAACGTACACACATTTTACGACAAAAGTAAATACTAATACTCTTGTGGAAATTACATTTAATCGACCTATTTACATTCAAAAAAATAAGGTATATGTTCAAATAGTACATAGAATAGTAATTTTGAAATAGTTTTGCAAGTTATTCCTGTTTCTTTTTCAACTATAGGTTTATCGAGTTGGAGTTGTTTTTAACAAAGTTGGTTGGTACCCAATGGGAGTCTGTACTCAAAGTATGACCTGTGATACTGTATTGTTCTCATTTGGTATTGGCCAAGAAGTCGATAGTGTGCGAGATGGTCTCATTCGATCTATAATTTTTACACAACAATCAGAACCATACATATAAATTTGTGATAAGACGAAAGTCTACTTTATTGTACATTATATTAGCGCATTATTTTATTTTTTGAACTATATCAGTCACGGTGCTATCCTTTATAAAAAATTTCAAATTAAATTTAAGAACTGTACAAAATTATACTCGTCGGTTATAGTTGTAGTGAAAGTCAGCCCTGTATAAAACAAATTTTTTTAATTTATATAAAAATATTAACGTTTGCAATACAAACAAAAAACTTGAATTTTACAATTTAACTATCTTTATTAAAAGTTACATTGCATATTAGTATCATATGTACTTCTGTTTCTCCCTCTAAATTTATTTTCATTACAATTATTTATAGTTTCTAATGATTTTTGTTACTATACAAAAATGTAATTATCTATTTATCACATATCATATACCATTCACTATTCATCTGTTATGTTTTGTTTAATTTTATACCCATGTCCTAAGATACATATGAAATATTTGTTTTTGATGTATAAAAATGCAAATGTAAGATACAAAATGTTTGTCTATCACATTTGATTTATTGGGCTCTTTTTAAAAATAAATTTTAAAGATACAAATTTTTAATAAACTATATAAATTTTATATTACACATTAATATATAACTATCATAAATGTTACAGATTTTGTGCTTGATTTTGTGTATTACGTATATAAACGAATATAATAATTAACAAATAGATTTTAAAATGTAATCAGTCTATATAAGTAACTACATATTTTACAGTACAAAAAATAATAAATCTATGTCAACTGTACTTGTATTTCAATCGTGTGAATTGTGTCCAATAGTTACTAAAATTTGTGCATCATAACATACAAGATACATATTTCTTACCATCGTGATGTAATTAATATACCTCAAGACAAGTTCTTCGGTACAAGTAACTAACAATATATTGTAAATATTTATTTGAAAGAAAATATTTTAGCTTTAATAATTCCTTCACGTTTTATGTACAATGAAATCCCATGTATCCCGCCATCTCAGTTTTAAAACTTCCTTGGCGCTTAAATGTGTTGTTCCATAACTGAGCACAGTAAATTTCTTAAATACATAAGTAATGGATAATAACCATATGAAAATACTACATTTTACTATACGTAATGACAGTTTCTGTTGATATCGAGTTCTGAAAGTATAAAGAAAAGTATTCATGAATTTTTTCTACTTAATTAATAGAAAGAATTGTGTATATTGATGTGCCAACATACGTAATTAAGTAGTATAGATGTTCAATTGTTGCGACTGTGAGTAATAGTTTAAAAATGAATGCCGGTAAATAATGATGAAGAAAAAGAGTTCTTTCAACAAAAAAGAAGGGCAAGAAATGTAACAAGTATCCAGTTAATAATGTGCTTCCAATATTAGAAAATTTGTTCCATTCCTTGTACGCGATATCGAAACACATTCGTCTTCTACGTAACATATAAAATATTAATAATAATATATATATGAGTATACAGACTGTTCCAGAGTACCAAATTACTATATTTCCTAAAAGATGTACTTGAGCCTGTGATAAAAAATGAAAATATTAAATATCAACAAATATTACGAAACTCGAAGATTTGTGCAAATATATACTTACATTACTATCATTTGAAACCCAATATGCAATTCCTCTAGACATTAGAGGCCAATCTAAAGGATCACTGGAATACATGTGACTATTCTGTCCTTCTTGACCACTGAAGAGCATTTTTATTTGTAATTCTACAAACTTCTCCCAAAAACTCAAAGTGGTAGCTTGTAATGGAATCATTTCAGCATTGATTAATTCTCTCTCTCTTTGTTTTTGATCTTCATTTTTAGTGTACCTATGTTCTTCAACGTTCCATATGGAATCTGTTTGATCCACAAATTTATCTGCCACTACTTCATGCTGATTAAAACCCCAATCAGGCAATTGTCTTCCACTAAATTTCAAAGCATAGTCTGTATTTACATGTATTAAACGCACTTGGCTTTGAATCGCATGCCAAACAATACCAACATTATCCTTATTAGTAATTTCTACTTTCCAAAGATTTTGAGCAGGCATAGATACATTATAATCAATGTAACAAGAAACTTCTTGACTCTGAGGTGTCATTGGAGCTGCAACATCGTGTGAATTTAATGCTCTACTTGTAATTCCATGCACTAATTGTATCACATCTCCATGTTTTATTGGTTCACAAGGTTTTGTAACAACTAAATCATTTCTCTCTGGCTTCTTCACAATCCACCAATTGTTGACATCTTTAAAAGAGTAACATGTAACTTGTTGCTGATGCGAACTGCCTCTATTGTCTGGATATCTTAGTGGATACATATGATTGTGACTATGAAGCCAGCAAGCTCTGCCATATGTGTGTCTTAAAGTTATTTGAGACCCATGCGTTACTTCTAAAGGTTGGCCTTTTGTAATGCTAGCAAGACCACCATCTAAACTTGCTTGGAATGCACTTGTCATTACCGCATCATGTGGTCCAGCTTTAGAAAGTATAGACAAGTGTATATAAAATACAGTCAAATAAATGGTACAAATAACGCCCAATATTACAAACATTCTCATTACTAGATGAATACATAATACTGTGCTAGATAAAGTCTTCCTTGGTATTAAAGTCCAGTAATCATAAACAATTAATGATATAGCAAGAGTTAATGAATACAATCCAACATACTTTACACTGAAAAGAAAATCTTTTAAAATTTACCGCAATAAGTTTACTTATCCTAATCGCATAATACTTTAAAAGCTATACCATAATGCACATGTTAGGCTTGCAATACCCAAAGTCAGCCATATCCACCAAAATAAATTTGTTGGTTGATCCATTACTTTTCTAAATTTCATAATACATATCAACCCAAGCAATGAAAATTGCATTAAAATACTTTCCATCAAGATAAACCTGGATTGTGTTAAAAGAGCATTGTCTGAAATATTAACAAAATTATATCAAATGAAAACCGTGAGTACACTGATAAAGTAAAATACTTGGTCATATGAAGCAATACAACTTGAGATTAAGATTTATAGAAAATTTTAATCTCAACTTGTATTACTTATTAGCCGCATTTGGATTCTATTTTATTTGATAAGTAGAAGAATAATGTATATTTTCAATTATACTAGTAAAATATATTGATGAAAAAATATGATACGTATAATTAATTACCAAGTAATAGTAATATTCCCGCTAATGTAGCAGTCCACTGTTTTAGACCTAATTCTAAAATTAAGTGATAAGCTGTTGGAATTAAAAGGCTGCCGCATAACGCAGGTATTAATCGTAATGCGAACAATGGAACAGCATCCGCATATGGACTTCCTATTCTATCAAATTTGAATTGTCCATCAAAACCCGCTAAATACGCAGCTGCGGAAATAAGCTGTTTTCCTAGAGGAGGATGTGAATCGAAAAAAAACGTTCTCTTCATGTAGAGCCCCACGTATTTTCCGTAGTGCAATTCGTCGAATCTGTTTCAAGGAATTATTAAATTATCAATTATTCAACTCAAAGCTTGTCCTTAATATTAAAGTAACTTACACTATACTTCGTGGTTCTTCTAAGCGATAAAGCCGAGTAATAATCCCAGCTAACAACAAAATAAGCGAAATGATATCGACCTCGAGACTTATTTTAATCCGTATTCGCGCTCCTGTGTTCGCCAATTGTTTTTTCATCTCAGATTTCTCAAACGTGTACGAAGCAATTTCTTTATCCGTCTATTTAAAAAAATTATGAACATGTTAACAGTAGTATAATTTGTGCGAACACAACACATCGATATATGCGTACATATAAATGTAATGAAATAAAAAAAAAAAAGAGTTACAGATGGCAAATGCTAAAATTAAATATTGAGCATCTGTTCGAATCGGCATAATGGAAATATCGAATGAAACACAAAGATATAAACATCGAAGAAGATTTAAAATGATATTAAATATAACGTGTTCTTCTGCTAATTTTAAATTAATTCTTCACCTCATCTTGTTGAATGCTTTCGACACAATTGCCAGGGATATGTTCATAATCAAACTTGGCGCTTTGCACTTGCTTGTTATCCTGCGTCCTTGTTCGCCTGCGTCGAACTTCCATCGCAAGAATTCACTGTTATTGGAGCAGTCTTGTAACACGTCGTTGGTGTTCGATTATTCTGATTGATTCACTTCAAACAAATCAAGTGAAACGTCGACACCACTATACTTGGCGTCTAGCGTCGGCGTCGTACACGTCATCAATTGACCAATAGTTTGACACGACACTATTGTTTTAAAAATTTCGGTCCCTGAATGAGACGATATCTGAACTTCCTTACTGCTTATGTGCAAAATTCAAGTTGCTAGATACTGCGCTAGAATATAGAAAGATTTAATGTATTGAATTGATAAAAGTTACCATTAATCTCAGGTTAGCACGATACAGTATCATATAACGGTACCGTCGTCGAAAATTCTCCTTCATTATCCACACTGCGCACCGCGCGGTAATTTCGTACCATATATAATTTTACAAAGTAGGAAAGTTTTTTTTTGATCTTTTGAACAATTATAAATCGACTCAACATTTTCATCGACACGAAACTGTATAATTTCTATTGAGTGTTACTTGGTCATTTAAAAGATTCGTTGTTGATTTATTTTCATTTTTTTTTTGTAAAATATATACAAATATATTCACGTACGAATTATGAAATATAACTGCGTTTATACAAACTTTTCTGTTTCAGATTTAAACATGAGCAGTGATCAAATTGCTTGCCCTGTTTGTTTCAAAGAATTCTCTTCTGCGATTATAGAAGGTCATGTTAGTAAATGTTTATTTTTAAACGAATCTGGGAGCAATGAATCTTCAACATCCTTTCAGGATAGTAGTCCTGCAAGGAAATTAATGAAACTGAATGACACAAAAGCAAAAAGGGGTAATTTGGCGACGATGAAAAGAAAAAATAATTTAACGGAATCAACATCATTAAACAGAAATATTGAAAATCAAAAAATTGAATCTAATTGCAATGTAATTATTTTATAAAACAAACAGTGATGATTAAATTTGAAATAGTCATTAACTACATCATTTCTAGATAGATAAAGAAGTTAAAAAGCCTCTTGGAAATGCCCATGTACCACTTGCAGAACGGATGAGACCTACAACACTTGTAGGATATATTGGGCAAACACATATTCTTGGGCCATCCACTATACTCTCTCAATTATTACGTAAATCTGAAATACCAAATATAATTCTTTGGGGACCACCTGGTTGTGGAAAGGTATTTATCTTGTCCAAGACTACAAAATTGATTTACAATTTATTAATTAGATATTAATTTTAATACCATTATAGATAATACTTAAATCAATACTAAATATCATTTACATAAATATAAAATTCGTATAATTTTAGACATCTCTGGCAAATGTCATAGCTCATATATGTAAAAATAAATCAGATAGTAAAATGAGATATGTTAAGCTATCTGCAGCAATGGCTGGTGTTAATGAAGTACGAGAAGTAATCACTGTTGCTTCTAATGAATTAAAATTTAAAAGACGTACAGTGGTATTCATGGATGAAATACATCGTTTCAATAAAGGCCAACAAGATGTATTTCTGCCTCATGTTGAATCTGGGACTATTACATTAATCGGAGCTACAACAGAAAATCCTTCATTCAGTTTAAATTCTGCACTTTTAAGTCGTTGCAGAGTCATTGTTTTAGAAAAATTATCTGTACCTAACCTGATATCTATATTAACTAAAGCTGTATCCTCGGTAGAAGGTGTAGTGTACAACTCATCAAAAAAATTAGAAGATACTACAAAAGTACCCAAATTCATTATAGATGAACCAACCATAGAATGGTTGGCAGGAACATCCGATGGTGATGCTAGAATAGCTTTAGGTGGTCTTGAATTAGCAATTCAATCTAAAATACCTAATGAGGAAGAATTTTTAGAAACTGGTCCTGTAACAATAACATTGGATGACATTAAGGAAAGCCTTAAAAAGTCTCACATGTTGTATGATAAAAAAGGTGAACAGCATTATGATATGATTTCTGCTTTACATAAATCTGTTAGAGCAAGTGATGAAAATGCTTCCATTTACTGGCTAACCAGAATGATATTAGGCGGTGAAGATCCAGTTTATATCGCACGAAGATTAGTACGAATGGCATGCGAAGATATTGGTTTAGAAGATCCAAAAGCTCTTGGTAGTATCCAATTTTTTTATAATATAGTGTGTTCTCGACTTACTTACTAATTAGTGTAACTCGAGATCGCATAATTGGAGGTCTTATTACAGACCTCCTATTAGACTTACTGTAGAACAACTACTATATTGAAATTTTGGTAACGCATTAAATTACTTCTAGGAATTGCCATACATACAATGCATGGCTGTAAAATGATAGGAATGCCCGAGTGCGATGTACTTTTAGCACAATGTACAACGTACTTGGCAAGAGCACCAAAATCAAGATTAATGGAAGATGCTCTCAGAGCTGCTCAAAGAGTAGTAGCTGAACACAAAGGTCCTCAGCCAGGAGTACCCTTACACTTAAGGAATGCTCCAACAAAACTGATGAAAAATCTTGGTAATTAATTTACCATTAAAAAGACAACAACATATTTCATGTAAATTTTATTTCAGGATATGGTAAAAACTATAACATGAGACATAAAGATGAGTCAGGACTAAATTATTTACCAGAAGGATTAGAAAATGTGAACTTTTTCGATCAAAATTATATCTCGTGAACATATAACTTTAAACTAAAATTAATAAAACGTACGATAATAAAGATATATACAGTATTACTTAACAAATAAGCAACATAATGTATTAATTATCAAATCTGAAATATATATACAGTTTTTATATTACATGGAGAATAGTATTTATATTTTTTTATGAAATTCAAATATCTTAAAATAATGCTGAATAAACTTAACAAATCAAGCTTTATTTTTCATTTGAAATTTTTTTCCATATGATAGTTTTATTATTAGCAGGCATATCAACAATGTCTAGTAATTTAATACCATTTTCCTGTGCCAATTCTTTTAAATCTTGAAGGTCTCTAAGACCCCAACTTGAATCTTGAATCTTCAAAGATTTATTAAAGTTAACATTACTTTCTGGCGTTATTTTTCCATCTATAGCATATGGTCCATACGTAAATAAATAACCATTGTCTTTCAGTAATTTACCTGCATTTTGAAATAAACCAATAGAACATTCGTAAGGCGAAATGTGCATCATGTTTGCATTATACATATAATCAATGCTTGATTCCTTAAAAATACCATTGCCCCAAGTACGAAAATCTGTGGTAATATCTACTCTTAAAGGATGTTTTATATTTGCAAAACCGTTTGCATGCGCAGCAATACTTTCTAACAATCTTCGTTCATATTCCGAAGGATAAAATGTAATATGTGGAAAATGAGGAGCAAAATGAGCTATGTGTTGTCCAGAACCAGATGCAATCTCCAAAAAAATTTGATTTGAACCATGTTGAATATACTCTCGAAGAACGGAAAGTATTGGATCCTTGTTACGATCAGCTGCAGGATAAATAAGTTTTTTGGCAGCCATGATACTAGACCTTAAATTAGAGTTGAACATATTACTTGAATTATACTGAAATTCTTTATTTAATGAAACGTAGATTTTACTTTTCTACATATATTTGTATCAAAAATATTTACAGAAAAAAAAGAAAAAAAGGTGCGCAAATCTTACCTATGATTAGCAGCACAATGGATAATTGTATTCATACTTAATCGTCACATTGATTTTGAATGTTACCTGAAAAATTCAAGTATAAACATTTTGCAGGCATAAATTAAATTTGTATACATTATGTTTTAGTATTAAATCTAACATAAAATTTAAATAACATTTCGAATTTATACAGTATACCCCAAATTACTTTTATTCGAAATTTCTACAAATAAACGGTATCACATTTTGTTGTTGTTATTACATTCATACTTTAGATACTGACATTGCAAATGCTATACAATTTATTGAATAATTCCTTAATAATTTCTTTATTTAAACATTTAATTTGGACAAGGTATAAACATGTATAATATGTGTAAAAGATACAATAACACATTATAATTTATAGCATAACTTTATTAATTGAATATCTTTCTCATCCCTTGAGCTAATTACAATAAATTAAGCTACATTATGTATGTTTTTTGTATACAATTAATGACTCTGTTTGTCACTGTTTCTTTTGCTTTTGCTTAACCTTTCATGATTTTTCTTATTTTTCACTGTGTTCTGAACATATACAGAGTGTCCTTTTTGTTTCAAATGTTCAAATAATTTATTTTTACTAGGAAATTCAGCTTTACATGTGATACAAAGGTGGACTGAATCTGCAGTTTCTGTAACTTGTAAATCTTTTCTACTTTTAGTTTCGCTATTTAATTTTTTTGCATTTTTAGCCTTTTTGTTTCTAAGTTTATCATTAATTGTGTTATTTGTTTCTAGACTATCAGAAAATAATTCTGCTTCATCGACTTCTTTCTCTGCATGATCTTCGATCTCCTCTTTCTCATTGGACATCTGCTGATTATTTTCTACAACTTTACTTAACATTGCCTTTTTTTGTTGCTGCTTTCTACGTTGCTTTTTTGATAAAAATATATCCTCATTAATACTTGTATCTTCTTCGTCGCTAACTTGCTCTGCCAATGGATTCTGAACATTCTTTCGTTTTTTCTTCTTCTTTTGTTTTTTAGGTTGTAGAACTTCTTCGTCTTCTTGATCAGAAATAAGCTCATCCTCAGAAGTGACACAATCATTATCATTTTCAATTAGTTTAGATGGAACATAAATAGCATCACCCATCTGAGGGTCTTCAGCAAATGAAGTTCCTTCCATGTGAGATTCTCTACCTTTAACTTTTGTTGAGTTGTTCAAATCTTCATCATCTGATATTAATTCTTCTTCTGAAATTTCTTCCTTAGTATTACCTTCATTATATGAGCTATTTTGAACAGAATTTAGCAGAAAATCAGGCATTTGCGAATCTGTTGCCAATTTTCTTTCACTTTCTGAAGTTGTTTGCGAGCTAATATCACTATCTGGAGAACTTTCAAATTCTTTATCATCTTTTATCATCGCAGCCTTCATAATAACAATATTATCTTTGTGCTTTTTAGAATTTTCATGATTTGTAAATGCTTTATGTGTTTTAAATATTTTATTGCAAGCTACACAGTAAAGAGTATTATCATCTACAGTGTTTTCATCTTCAGTGTCTCCATCAGAAGATAAATTTTCACCAAATTCTTGAGCAAGATTAGCTTCAATATTTTTAAGTTCACCTTCCATGTTTGAAAATTTAGACCACTCAGATTCTTTATGTTCTTTCAATTGTTTTTGTCGTTCTAATAATTGCTGCTTTTTCCGTTCTTCCACTTTTTTCAAATTTTCTTTGGCACGTTCAGCAAGCTTTGCTGCATGAGCTTGGACTCGTTTATCACGTTTACGTACAAAAGCAACTAAATTTCTTACTTGTTCATTTCTTTCTCTTTTAGCTTTATCACGAATCTTCTTATTTTCTTTTTCAATAAGACGTGCAACTTTTCTATTAGGAGCACTCCTTACATCGTAAGGATCTAACCAGGCAAACGATCTTTTTGTACTATAACTTTGCCAATAAGCATAAAAAGTATGAACAACTTCTTCATATGAACTTGTTGAATTCCCAAAGTCTGGAACATCTTCATCCGAATCTCCTTCTTTTGCAAATTCTGCATCTTCAACCGTAAGTTTTTCAAAAACTTTGCGGTAAACAGTAAAAAATCCTTTTTCATCATCTCCATATCCTTTAAAGCAAGTGGTTGAGAAATATTGGAAGAGATCGATAGAATCATCTTTGTAATCTTCGCCAATGCCACCTTTTAAGATAGCTTCACGATGATTATCATACCAAGCACGTTCATGAGGATCACTTAATACTTCCCAAGCTTGTTGAACAATTTGAAATTGTTCTTTTGCTTCCTCTATATTCTCCAAATTTTTGTCAGGATGCCATTTCAATGCCAGTTTCCTATAAGCTTTTTTCAAGTCATTATCAGATGCATTTCGTGCTACTCCTAGTACCTCGTAGTGACATTTCATTGTAACAATGAATAATATTGTTTACTCCAATGTTAAAAATTGATGTGTAATCTCACGTAATACAAAGCTATATAAATCATGTGCTAAAAGAAGTAAGATCAACACTTGAATAACGAGAAATGTTCATGTTTCAGTCATACACAGACGTTCAATCACACATAATTTAAAACATGTTTACACTTGTAAATCGAACATACGTCTTCTCGAATATCACTTAGAAACTATTACTGATTCATGCCGTAAATACTTCCGTTAAAAAATCCGTAATGAAAGTACATTCAATCTTAAGATTTCTTGTAAATGATCGTTATTCACCTACCAAGATGTAACTTATTTTCACTAAGTTGAGCATCAAATTTCAGGTTATGTTTGGTCATATAAAAAATCCCACCATACATAAAATTAACTTTATTTCTATAGGTGCACGGTACAACACGGTACACTTGTCACATTTCTTTATCTAGATATTTAGTATAGGGATTTCTGACCTAATTTCAAAATTATATAGAATGATACACCATACATACACCTAACACTTTGAAGCAAAGTTTGTGGCACCCCCTACTTTACGTAAACGAACTAAAAGTAAAGGAGCGCGAGTGTGTATATGTACAGTCAGTGTAATAAGTATTCGTACAGCAACCCATTTGAAACAAATGGTTTCTGTACGAATACTTATTACACTGACTGTATATAAAATGACTGCTAGCTATCAACTTCAGATGTGTACCGAGCATCTTTCTTCACTACTTTGTGGTGAAGTTATATAATTTAGTCCATGGTTGAAATTTGTTCATTCTGCAAGTTAACCAATCAAAATTGAGAACAACATGTTCGTTTCTCGTATTTATGGCTCTTACCCATGACATTTATAGTAAACGTTGAGTATTTTTTGATTGTTCGTGCTTTAGTTCTACGGTTGCTAGTGATTGAAAGCAATTGAAAAAGTCATATAGGATTGTAATTCAGTATGGCATCCACAGCGAAAATGGGATCTCAGGATTTACCTCCAAAGGGAGGATACGCACCTTATCAAATTGAACGAATTAATTTGCGTACTGTTATTGGAGGTATATGTATATATTGATATGCATGTACATTAGTTTAATAATTATATAAATAATCCACTTTTTCTGTACGTTATTACCCAAAAATAAATAGTTATGTGACACTTGCTCAGAATTTCCAACGATGAATGAAAAATAAATTTTAGGTAAAACTGGTATCGCACTTTTCTATGCTGCTACCTTTGGTGGATTTTATCTATATTATTTAAATCATAAATATGTGACTAGAAATAAAATTGAAATGAGAAGCTCACGTTTAGCCCTACAACCAATGATGGAAGCAGAAAGAGACAGAGCGTAAGAAAGTTTCATACAACTTCATTTCAGCTTTTACTTAAGCCTATTGGTAACAAATATTTATTTGTCTAATTCAAGGAAAAAGCATCCATAAACAAAACATAATAAAGATGTTTGCAATTCCATTCTAATGTAACATTCTCCATATTTCAAACTCTTTTTCATTTAGAATAGTTTTTGGTATGAGAGTATTTGTATTTTTATTGTTGTTTTCTTTTTACAGATTAATGAAACATATGCGGAGATTGATTGAGGAAGAAGCTGATGTAATGAAAAATGTTCCTGGTTGGGAAGTAGGAACTTTCTTTGGAGAACCAATATATTATACAGTACCAGAAGATGAATATATTGAACCTTTATTGAGCGATCTTATAGTGTTTTCTAATCCTGAAGATTATAGAATTCGTGTTTCAGGAAACCTTTACACTTAGAATTTACATTGTCAAAAGTGATACAATAGTGTATTATAGAATATAGAAAATATAAATAATAAAATTTGATTATTATAAGTATACTAAACTGTTGTTTTTTTATTATTCATTGTAATATTATTAATATGAAATTGCATAAGACCAAAACACGACTATTTTAAAACTTGGCTGTCAGATGATGGTTTTTAAAATCATCAGCTGTATTTTCATGGCAAACTCTTTTACGCACTATTACGTAGTAGAACCTCGATTATTGCATGAAAGCATTAATCATGGTGTTGAGAAGTGCAGGGAATAGTCACTAAGCAATGAATAATTCCTTTAAAATTTGTTTCGACATTCTGACGATTCATGGTATATATCGATTGTTTATTATTTTTCCATTGAAGGATCACCTAAGATTAGTCTATAACAGTGTATCCCAAAGATTTTTGGTTACATGTGGAAAATTCATATATTTTGTTTACTTAATTATTAAAGACGATTTTGAACGAAACATAGTTTGAGAGATGTTAATCTACGAGCACAAATATTTTCTAGATCTACGAGCATCGCTTACAATGTAAATATCAAAACATTTACGTTTACCCTTTGGTCTATTTATCGGATAATCCCGATACTCTATAGTTTCCCAATTACGTAACCTTCACTGGGTCCCATCTGCTCTATTGAAATCTCTGTATAAGGGCTGTACTCCCTTCGCTCATCTCTCGACTCTTCTCTCCCCACAACAGTATCAATTACATTGTTATTACCGTACACCGATCGATATTCCTATAGATAATGTGTTTCGGATTATGCAATAGTTTCGAGTGTCAGTTGAACAGTGTTTATCAACTCGAACCCTTAATCCTCAACTTTTATACTCGGAATCGAGTATTTTTTAGTACGAAATTATCAACTCTCAAGTTGAATCAATTGATATACATGTACATGTACCTAGTACACTATTCCAATTATTCTGACTAAATATTGCAGTAAAAATATTGTCAATTATTTAGTAATTTCAGAAAAAATGTCAGTCTAAGGAATCGTATTTTTCCTAATTCTGCGTTCGATGAGAAATCCTTCCATGTTTCTATGTAGAGTAGCAATTGTTTTGTGAGTTGTTACCCCTACCCTTTATCTACTGGCAACTATCCAGCAGTTGCTTAAGTTATCTAAATTCCTGTAATAATCAAGTTAATCGATTCAATGAATAGTAGCTGTACACATCACAGCCTATTACTACTACCTCCAATCTTATTGATTGCTTAACGACCATCCCCTCCAGTTGAGAACCCGATGTAATGATTCTACTTTTTTGTTTAATTGCTACTCATAAAACGAGTATAATAAAATGTGATTCAAATAGAGAACAAAAAATAGAATATTTAATGAAGAGAAACAACACGAAACAACGAAAGGGAACTTTTAATAAAATTCGAATTATTTAAAAAAAATACAAAATTAGAAAAGAATTATGACTTTGTTTTAAACATTTGAAAAACTACATTTATGTATGGTTTAATACGTACTATTTTATTTGATCATAAAAGGTAAGGTTGAAAGTCGCTGCACACCGCAACACTGCTTCGACAAGATAGCATCGAATGCTCAACTATGCGTTTAATTCGAAACTGAGCCTCAAAGAACCACAAGTCGGCAAAATTTAGGGTCGTATGGTGAGGCCATATATAAAAGAGGAGTTCATTAAACGACCGCAGTTAAAGTTTCGACGTGAAACCGTTAAGGAAGATGAAAGACTTTAGCATCGAAAGTATTTTATCTGACACGTTAGTTTTTAAGCAAAGTAATCGATTCGAAAAAAAATTTCGATCCGAAAATTACGAAAATTTCAAGAAAGAAAATGATTGGAAACAATTCGAAGCGAATTTGAAAATTAGTGTAGAAGAAACACGCGCGTTGAGTATGAAAAATAATTGTGGATGTATCGAGGAGAAGTCTGTAATTATCAAGGAAGAAATGTGCACAAAAATCGACTTGAGGAAAACTCATGAATTTTGTGAAAGGGAAAGTGGTGACGTCAGTTTGAAAAAACATACCGCGTCCGAGATGAAAAGAAAACGCGAAATAAATTTCAGAAAAAGTCCCAGAGGATCACTAATTGACAAACTGTTTATAAATTCTAAAGAACCTGATAAACATAAGCCTTATAAGAATTCGCTGGTACTTGAAGAATTCCAAGACACTCGTCGTGAAAAGAAATTTACGTCTAATATTCTTAACGGTATCTGCAGGACCTTCGATATAATCGACGCAAAACCAAATGTTGCAATTCCTCGAGTAGGGAGAAGTACGCAAATTGATGTAACAACAGAATTGCGTGCGCAAGAGAATTTCGATCTAATTGAGACAAATGGGACGAACACTGCCGAAAGAATTAGTGAAGAATGCAATACAGATTCGAACAAATTTCAAGTTGAAGAATGTAATTACAGGGATATCGATAAGAACAATTATTGGAAGAACGCTAAAATAAACGATCAACTGAAAAAAGATTCCGGGAGGAATTTGAAGAAAGGCCAAAGAAAGTTGAACAGAAATAGAAAAAGACAAATAAAAACAGATGAAAGTGGAATGTTTAATAATAGTCAAATTAACGATCTAAATTTAAACGAAAATCGCAGCGAACTGTTGGGAAATCAAACTAAATGTTCGAAAGATAATTTAAGTAGAAAGTCGGAAAAAATGGAAAGCAGAGATTCATTATCCGATAATCAAAATAGAAAATTAGTCGAATCTTTCGAAGATGAAACGGAAGGATTGAAAGTAATGCAAAAATTAAAAAAGTTAGAATGGCTTCAATTTACAAGATACCGACCTCCGAAAATTCACCGAAAATCAACAATTGGCAGAAATAAGAGAAAGGCGAGTCTTCAGCCTCGAATTCCATTTTCAACCTTTCAACTTGATTTTCTTGAACAAAAATTTCGAAACAGTGCTTATCTTTCGAGAAATGACGTACTGGACATTTCTCTTAATTTAAAACTACCCCCTAAAAAGGTACTTACGATACTTTATACGTTTTCGTTGCACTTTTAACGTTAGAGTAAACCTAATGTTTTTAGGTAACATTCCATAAACAATAGTTCCGTTTAATTTGAAAGTTCTAATTATTATCAGTATTACTAAAGTGTAAAATTACTATTGGAAGTTTTTAAGCTGCGCGAAACTAATAAAGTGACCCTGTCTTTTACAACTTTTCTATCAATAAAATAACTAAAATTCCCTATACATTATAAACATACTTTTAGATAATTTTGCGCAAAAAGTATGTTTACATTCGGTAAGTGAAAACTGTGAAAGTAACAAATAAAAACGGTAGTGTTGTCTTAAAACTAGAGTACAGGTACTGTATTTGTATTGCAATGTATCTTTTAATGTGTTTTTCTAATAATGATTTCTTGTTTCAGGTAAAAATTTGGTTCCAAAATCGACGTGCTAGGGAACGACGTGAATTCCATGCTAACACACAATAAAAAGTATATGTATATAATAGGATACAACCTATTGTTAACAAATTTGTATGTACTAAAAAATATTTTCATCAATTAATTCTCATATACTCATATGTTATAAGTCACAAAACTTCATTTTTGCAGGTCTAGAATTAATAAAATTTTTAAAAATATTGATATATTGTAAAAACATTTAAAATAAATTTGTAGAATATTAAGCATAAACATGTAAATTTTCTTCGAATTTGAGTTCATAAATGATGTATGAGATTACCATGCATGACAAGTGTGTAGCTATATATAGCTTCTAATTTATAAGAAATACTATGTAATATTGATTTTTTTTTACATTTGAAGCGATATACTATGAATTTTTATCTCATTGAAAATAAAAATCTTCCAACAGATGTTTGAATAATTATATTCACTTCTGTCAATGAAGGGTCAATAAAAGGGCGTATGCTTCTATTTACTGCTATATATTTCTATAATATGACCGTGTTAACTCTGTTTGATCAATTCCACATTTCTAATCATGTATTGGATTTTATTTATGCATAATGCCTTAATTAATCATAACTCATTTGTAGCAAGAAGTATATTTGCAAAAAACATCTGATATTCAAATGAACGATTCTAATCTTCCGTTTACGTAATGTTTACTGTTTCTCTGCTAGATGTCCTTTCGTTCGACCGAGAAATATAAGCATGATAGTTGAGCCATTCGAACAGTCTATGTTTGAGCAGTCGCGCGGTGAATTCCGACTTGCATGCGCGCGCGCGCAGTTCGTTCGATTCCACGAAAATTTACGAACTCTTTCGTATTCGAAGATGCAGCGTTCCGTCCAACAAGCAAATGGGGATGGCGTCCTCGCTTCGCCGAGAAAAAAACAACGATTATCAGGTGCTTCGGCCAAAGTCACTGTCGTTCTTGGAGCACAATGGGGAGATGAAGGTAAAGGCAAGGTCGTGGATATGCTTGCGACGGATGCTGACGTCGTCTGCAGGTGTCAGGTGAGTCCGCCATCTTTTTCATTCTCGTCCGCCTTTTTTTCATAGAAACCTACGTCTGTCTACTCCTTTTTAATTACGAATAATCTCTTCTGTTCGGTAGTCGAGACACCATCCTTCCTTTATTTTAAACCTGCTAACACATTTTCACTTGTTTCTTTGTCATCCTTTTGCAAATTGTTCAAGCATTTCCACTCTTTTCTTTTCTCTCTCTTTCCTTTTCTCTTTATCACGTGATTATTCGAACATCATCTATTTTCATATTTTAATTTGTACGTGTGAATCGAAACGTTGTATTTTCATTATTTTATTAATAACTTACTTTTATCGTGTATTCCTTTTCTTTTTTACAAAAACTATGTGTCTAATTTTATGACGCTATTTTAACGCTAATTTTCCTGTTTGTCTTTTTTATTATCATAGAATTTTTGTTGTTTTCCTTCTTTTTATTTCAATGTATATCTATCTATGCGTATATGTTCATATATTTTTTTATTATATCATTTAAAAGCTTGTAATACGAGGTAGCACATTGAATGTAATTGTATCAGAACCTACATATTTCGTTTAGTATCAGTAATGTCAATCAACCTGATATATATTATTACGCGTAACATTCTTAAAAATATTCATATCATATCTCTTTAAATCTAAATTTATAACTAATTTTGAATAAGCTCAGTTTTGTTTCTTTAAAGTCTCTTGAAGATTCAAGTTTTAATAAATTTTTACATCAATATGTATAGTTGCTTACTAAATGTATAATGGTATTAGATTTCATAAGCACAATCAAACATTTTTCAAAGGTAAGAGAGTTTATACCATGTGCATGAAGAGGTATAGTTTAGTTTATAAATAAACTCTGCAAATATCCAAAGAATGTAAGTAGTATCTATTTTAAGGGCTTAGAAAAGTCCATATGTAAATATAATTTTATTTACATTTACATTCACATAGATTAATTTTGCAGTAAAATTGATATTATTTAGTTACATTTAAATTGTAGTGTATATTTCGTTATGAATGAATTATAATTCTAAATAAGGTTGCACACGAAGGATAAGTCACCAAACATTGGAACCTGCAATATATTCAATGTGTTTGATGATATAAGAGAATGGAAAATAAAAATGTTTCTATTGAGCAAATACTACAGTATACAACATATTTTTAAAGAGATCTTGTTGGAGGTATTTACTGTCGTGATATCATAATTAAACAAAAGCCAAGAGTATGTGGTAATTTAATAGAAAATTTATAATATATGGGAATATCGTTATTACATTATTTATTATTGAGTAAATGTTAAATATCAGTTTGTGTTTATGTCTACTTTTCTACTACATAGAGCATTTCTGCTTTTACTATATATTTTAATAGCCTTTGAAAGTAGTCATATAGAGGATCCCAGAATTGTATAGAGTCGTATCAGGGGTCTCAGAATTGTACAGCAGTTGTTGGCTGTAGTTATATCAAATTTGCAAAGTTAGCTGTGATGATGATGATAATAATAATAGCACTTGTATATTTCATCAAGTATGCAGCCAGCATAAAATGAATATTTTAACATATAAAAAAATATTTAAGAAAATAAATAGCTTTATAAAAATAATCCATTAAATCAGTTTTTCGATCAAATCTCCAATGTATACTAAATCCAGTGAAACCAGTTTTCTCACTACACTGTCTTATTTGATTTACACGTTAGGAACGTAAGAGTGGTTTTTGCGCCTCCGTGTTCACGTCCTTGGGAATTATTCTATTAGGCTTAGCAATTGGTAAACTACATAATTACGTGTAAAGTGTGTAACTTTAATTTTGAAGCTTTGTGTTAGAATTTCACAGTTATTTTTTCTTATGTTTCGTAAAAACGAATCGATTTTTCTTTTAATTTCGATTACTATACCTGGAAGCATCGTTAATATACAAATAAACTCTGGGGTTACAACAAATGGGTTAATACTCAGTTTTCCCCCATGAGATTACGATAACGCCCCGAACTTTTTTTTAAGACTACTACAGTGACTAGCATAAGTCTACATCTACATACATCTATTTAATATATGAAACGTGTAAACGGTGCATACTGTTATAGGACAATCTATATTTACTAGACTGAACTAGGTCCAACAAATACAATAAATCCTGTCTAAGACACCTGAAAATTCACAGTCTAGGAAACACGTGGCTATCTCCCCACAACTTCTCAGAACTGATATACTATACATATATGTATACATATATTCGACGTGTATGTAAATCTTAACTTTTACATTTTTATTTAGCATTGAGTAGGGAGGGAGAACAGAGCTAATTGCTACATGGGAAGGTGTTACAATATACTTAAAAAATAATTACGTGATCTGTAAAGTATGCTACAAAAAGAAGAAAACGGCTGAGCATGTAGAGAGTAGTGTGTGAATGAATAAAGGAATGTAATTTAAAATTGTCTATTTATGAGATAGACAACAATGAATCACACTCGTAGTAGCGCGTTTTGGTTCATAGCATATACATAGTATATTACGAGATAAATTCGTAGTTTGGGCCGAATGGTTTGAAGCATATAATTCAATTTAACGCCGAAGAAGAATAATAAAACTTATAAGAACAAAGACTTATCGTGCGGTACGTTCGATCCCATTACTATTTTCATTGAATGTTGCCAAAAATCTGAGCCCTCGACCGTGGCAGTAAAGTTGCGTGTTCATGTGACATTAAGTCACGTTTGTTATTGTCGTAGCTCCGTATTACGACATTTGCCATTGCGAAAACTAAAAGTCGCATTGTCACGACGTTCCAGTCGGTACCGTGACATCGGTTTAAGTTTGATATTTCATGGCATTTGCAAGGCAATAATCACGAGCAATGCGCAGTGATAACTGCATATCGTACTATCGTCGCGACATTCGTTCAATAGTCAATAGTACACTCTCGAAGATGTTGAATATTTCTCTAAAAATCAGAATATCAGAATATAGAAGAGCACACCTATTCCCCGGTTAAAACGGTAGATGTGTCTAAAAAAGAAATCATGTAAATCGAAAAGTAAAGCAAAATGGGTACTATTTATTTAAATATAGATATTTTATTAAATTCATTTATTTCAAGGTAAATCAACATTTTTGATATATTTATCTGGTAGAATGGTTCATTGAAGCATTTCATATTTGGAAAATTATGGACGACAGTTGCGGTGTTTCCTTGTCAGTGCATTCGTTGTCTTCGGCACATAATGAGTCAAGATAGGAAGTTAGAAAAATTTAGACAACGTATCTCGCGTGTTTTTTACTTGAACTGGCGCCATAAAATGTTCTTATCGTCGTACTCCTCTTATATTATATAGAACAAAAAAAAAACTGTACAACAATTGTTGAAATATATGAATATTTCTATGCCTATCCATGTAAAAATTCTGCTACATATATATTATAACGCAAGAAATAATGTTGATATTTTAAATGATTTACGAAAAAGTATTCTAATTCATCACTATAAATATACAAAATATAAAAAATCAAATAAACGTTATAACATTAAAAAGACAAAACATACTTTATATTACATTTCTGTTCTTCACCTCTGTACATAAAAATATAAATTTGCATAAACATCCAGGGTCTAATCATGAATTTTTAAAAATTCCTTTATCTACATTTTTAACAAAATCTTAAAATTCTACGTAGTCGGATTTTAATGACTTAAAGTATGGTGATTGTAAAAAAAATCACGTATGTGCAATCTACCTCAAGGTTTTCTACATATATCTCCGTAAGCTTTCCTACAGTTACATTCTTCATTTGTCAAACGATTTATAATTTTATAAGCTTACCACTTCCAATCTTATCTCTCCGTATACATACGTGCTTCTAAACGTATTTTTTTTACAAAGATTATACGTGTTGATAAAATAGTCTGAATACCATCTTGTATCGGATCATTTTGTAAGTCTTGATGAGTTTCTATGTGAAAATAATACAATATACATATAATGCAAATATAAAAAATGATCTTTAATGGAAACAATAGGTTTCCATCCAAACAATGCTTGTTATTTCGCTATTAATGATTGATAAGTTAATTACATTCGTCTTGATTATTTGTGTTATTCAGTAGTCATAACTGTTAATTACTCGTAACTTCTTAATGACTCGAGTTCAAACTCCAATTTAAAGTGTTGTATTCCATTAAATGACGATGTATTATAGCTCGATGAATTTATCTAAACAAATACCATTACATTATGGATAAAGATATATGTATAAGGTTACATTCAAAAAACTTCATTTATTTCTCAAATCTCCCTCACTATTTTACTCACTACAAAAGTATTTACACCATATAATTTATCCATTTGAACCAAATAACTTTTATGAAAGCTTCTTTTTTTGAGATATTTAACCATTCCAATTTAAACGAAACACCCTGTATAATAACAGAATGACGATTAAATATTTCTACTTAAACTAAAATAACTTAATTTTTTACACCAAATAAATTACACTATATCTAATCACGGTTTTGTCCAAGGAACGAGTTTTCAGTCGAGTCGTGATATATGATAATATTGCTTTGCAATCGTATTTCTGAAACAATCGAACAATTTTTTTTTTGCCATCAGTATAATTGCAGAAAAAAAATTTGCTGAGTGTGATATGCGAGTATACGCATTTTTTTTCTTTTTTTTACATGAAACAGAAATGAAACTCTGAAATTCATCGTAAAAAATATTTTACATTCAACTATATAGGTAAATCATTTCAGATCGCACTTTGGTTATCGATCTTCGATTTCATATTTTGATAAACATTTGATATTTATTTAATATTAGGCAGTTTCTCTTATTCGTATCCAACAAGCAAGATGAAACATTGAAACATATGACGCAACCAATCCAATAAGAATTGGTTAAAGGAAAATTGTGTACGCAGGAGAAAAAGAAAGATTTTAATTTTTCAGGGAGGAAGCAATGCCGGGCATACTGTAGTAGTAGACGGTGCGGAGTTTCACTTCCATCTTCTGCCCAGTGGAATAATCAATTCTAGATGCACATCGCTGATAGGTAATTATTTTTCGATCATGACGGTTTACAATAAAATTTCGGTAGCAACCAAGGACAAAGGTATATAGGATTTTGTAGTTGAATTTTTTACTCGTTATACATAGCATACAAATAAAAGTGATCAAAGAAAAGACATTATATACAGGGTGTCCTAGAATTAGTGTAAAAACCGGAACGGCGCCGCCGCCGGCAGCGGGGGGGGGGGGGGGGGGGGGGGGGGGGGGAGGGGTGGTGTGTGTGTAGCTGAGACGATTCTAAACCACAATGTGGAAAAACCACCGACCAATCACAGCGTCCGAGTAGCGCGCGCTCAATATTTTACTTTGACCAATATTTTATTTCAAGTCAATTTCCAAGTAAATTGCGCGCATATATGCGCTAACGATGCAAATGGGTTAAGTGAGACCTGTTATGCGAGCATCGTGTATTGTACATGTACGTCAATCGAATCTAAAAATAACTGCAATTCTAAGATTTTAGATCTAAATCGATCTAAAAATAAGTGTAACTCGAAATTTGTATGGCGGTAGGATCAGCACACCGAAATGCGAATTGAAAAAGTATATACATGCATAAGTACGCACGGCTGAGGCAGACACATGTAAATATAACATGGCACAGCTCTGAAAGGATTATTATTAAAGGGTTGCGTACACCTAAAATGGTTAAACATAGATACTTATTTCAGAACTTTGCTATCTATATCATTGATTTTATAACATCATTCCTACTTTAATAATCTTCCACTTTTAACATTTTTATGATACTAGATTGTTATTTACAAACTAGCATCGATAGTATTCACTTGGTATTGTACCCATCGCTAGTGACTTGTACGACTCGTTCATGATCAACGCGCAAATTGAAATTTGGCCCAGGTTCGTTGCCGCAACTTCGTTACAAGGACAGTTGCTACATACGAAGCCTGGGTTTCCTCAGCCGTCTTCTGTTCTTTAACTCCATCGTGACTAAACATGTGATACCCTTCTAGGAACGTCCGTGACTATCCACCCGCATTTACGCTCTCTGCTCCATAAATTTAGATCCCGAGGTCGCTAGAACGTTCTACAAACTTTGACTGGCTGCACTGGTTTTGACGTCACTTTTGAATCGGTCACACTAATGTGCCATCAGATTCAAATATTCCATCCGCCCACTAAACTAACGTGTTACTATAGAACGTTGTTCATGTTCACAGCAAGATTAACAAGATCACACATCGTTGCATAGACGACTTTCTATAGTAACCGTCTTTTATTCATTTTAACAACGATAGGAGATATTAATGATATCTTAGTATATAACTTTAAAGAAATGTTCCTGAGGAGAAAAAATAATATTCGTCATGTTCATCTTTTAGAACCATTTAAATTGCGTTCTGTATGTTTCATCTGTATCTTCAAATCCAAGGAAGATATTCAGGTGTTCTGTTTCTGGTGACTCAACTTATACGCTTATTGGAATGATAACATTTGTATATTTATGTAGAAGAAAAAAAAATAGTTGGCTCATATGCTCGATCGCTCGTAGGGTATTGTCTTAAGACATTAGGCTATTCAGACTATCGACGATTTCTTTTTTTCCAAGTCGTATATAACACATAATGCCTGCTGCTTGCAGTACAATATAAAAGAGACATAAAAATTATCATGTTTTGCTAGTTCTATACACTATTGTATACTTCATTTTACGATCATTGGTTAATGTGTATTTCGAATTATGTGTGTATCACAATTGTGGAATTTCTACTATGGAGAAACGCTACTTTCATTATGAATATTTTTGCAGGAAACGGAGTCGTAATACACCTGCCGGGCCTCTTCGAAGAATTAGAAAGCAATGAAGCAAAAGGCTTGAAAAATTGGCAAGAACGATTGGTAATTTCTGATCGAGCACACATGGTTTTTGATTTTCATCAACAAGTTGATAGTCTTCAAGAATTAGAAAAGGGTAACCAATCTCTTGGCACTACCAAGAAAGGAATTGGTCCAACATATTCAAGCAAAGCTGCTAGAAATGGTCTTCGAATTGGCGATCTCCTTGGAAACTTTGATAAATTCTCACAGAAGTTTGACATGCTGGTGACGTCGTATCAAAAAATGTTTCCTGCACTTCAAGTTGATGTGAAAGCAGAACTTGAACTATATAAAGAGTGCGTATATCTATAATTTCTACTTTGAATGAAATTTAGAAAATTAGAAATTCTAATTATATTTTAAGAACCTAGAAATGTCCTTAACACATAAATAAATTATTAAAAGAAATGTGTTACAAATCAGAGGCTGTTATTTAACCGAAACAATATGTTTCTGTTGTTTTCAGATATGCGGAAAGAATACGACCGTTAGTCAAAGAAACAGTTCAGTATTTACATCAAGCATTACGCGAGGGAAAGAAAGTTTTAGTCGAAGGCGCAAACGCTGCAATGCTAGATATAGATTTTGGAACATATCCCTATGTTACCAGCTCTAATTGCAGTATAGGCGGAGTTTGTACTGGTCTTGGACTTCCACCATCTTATATTGGAGAAGTTATTGGAGTCGTTAAAGCATATACTACAAGAGTCGGAGATGGGCCATTTCCTACTGAACTGTTAGATGCGACAGGTGATCTTTTACAAAAAAGGGGCCACGAATATGGAGTTACCACAGGTAGAACAAGACGTTGCGGTTGGCTGGATTTAATCCTTCTAAAATTCACAGCAATGGTGAACGGGTAAGAAATATTTTATAAATTAAAAATCTACAGACTATCTACATTTAAATCAGCTACTAATCTTGAGTTTTTAATTTTTTTGTTCACTTTAGATATACATCGATATGCCTGACGAAATTAGATATTCTAGACACCCTTCCAAAAATTCAAGTTGGAGTGGGATATCGGCTGAATGGAAAAGAAATTGATTATTTTCCAAGCAGTACTTCTGATTTAGCAAAAGTAGAGGTAATTTATGAAACCATTGATGGTTGGCAGTCAACAACAGAAGGTGTACGTTCTTTAGAAAAATTGCCAGCAAATGCTAGGACATATATCAAACTAATAGAAGACCACCTTAGTATTCCAGGTAATATTTTATTATGTATTATTTACAAATTTTGCTTCATGCACGTATATATGCTATATTCTCATGGCAGAATATCAGATTTTATTTCTATGATTGTCTAATATTTCAAATATTTAAGAATTAAATGAAGATAATTCGACGAATGTTTCTATAAAATTATTCGTTTCAGTTAAATGGATTGGAGTGGGAGCAGGACGTGAAAGTGTAATTACACTTTGACGTTACACTTATCAATTACTACAATGGAAATATGTTCATTTGTCCATTCAGTTCGCTATTCTTTTGAATAAATTTGATTTATTGATGCAATTCATGAAACAAGCGCACAGGAAGTACATGACAATGAAAATCATAGCATTAAGCTTTCAAACTTTAGTAGTATTCAAGAACCGATGAATACAAATCTCATTTTTCGAGATTCTCCGTATTATTGGATAATTCATGTCAATCATGTTATCCGCTGTTTGAATGTAAAATAAGACATGTTAATTAAAATGTATTTATTTGAAAACTGTTTTACTTAATTTTCAATCCTCTAATACTTGGCTTCAACAGTATAGTATCCATACCATCTATTACGTTTGCCCGAGTCAACATTCTTTTTATATTAACAATCGGGACGATAGACGATTATATTTACAATTCCTAATCTTTGGATCGATGAGGGTATAGGCAGTAAGGAGTTGCGAAAATCGTATCAACTCATTCTTTAATAATAACAGTTTATTTTTTTAAAAAATAGATACACTGTACACATTCAAAATTTATACAAATTTGGCATTGACTTCCAAATGGTCTCTTGATTTTTACAATAAATCTTGGGTTTTATTGTACGAATTCTAGTATCCATAGCAGATCGATGATTTCTTATCCATGAGTTAGCATACAGTTCTGGGTTCCAGGGATTTAACGGCTGGCCTAACAGATTAATGATCATGAACCTTGCGATATTTAATTGTTAGACTCGCCCTTTTATTATTACACATAATATTCATCAACAAAAATATTCTCTCTGCTTCTACACAACTTATTGCGATTGTATTTATAATTTGCTTTGCTTTCCTAATTCTTTCTGGAACTGAAACATTTTTTGAACGAATATAATTTTGCTACATAGTCACGAAAACCATTTATATTAAATTTGTTTTTGCATAAACTTTTAACAACTGATTCATGAGAACTACCTCAGTGACGAGTTTAGCGGGTGTTGGACCTGGTAGCCATCAGGGATCCCTAACTCGAAAAAATCACTGATCGAGATACTTCAATTTTTCGTGGCTAATTATCTTCTTTCTTTTTGTTTAAAAGAAACTGATTATGAAAATGATTACATTACTAAAATTTAAACATTTATTAAATAATAATACTTAATTCTCTTCCTCGTTCATTTTATACTGAAACATGACGCACATATCGATGTAACTATTCGGAACGTCACATGATACATAATCAATAAGTACATACTTACATAAAATATATCATAACTAGAGTTTAATATTAGAGATAGCAAGTAGGCGACACACGAGAAATTTCAAATGACACGTTAAAAAGTTACATATATCCTTATATTTAGTTTCATTTTGTACCACTTTTTTTATATTTAATAAATACTACATATATTCCTATGTATCAATGCAGATACTGGCAGCTTTTGTTTAATTTGACACGCTGGTCAAATCCTATTCGTCATTTGTGGTTTAGAGTATTCCAAAGTGTTGCAAATTGTATACTTCAGTATTCTTTGTTTATATCACGTCGAAGATACCCAAACACGTATTCTTTCTTTTTCTTCAGGATCGCTGGAAATGTTACCGCCAGGTACACCCACCACGCTAAATCCGCCACTAAATCGGCTCCAGCTTACCACTGGTTATAGGCGTAAACTTGGTACTCTTGCATGTTACGTTCATTACTCATATTCAATATCCCAGAAACGGCATGATCCCTCTATTATGTTTTCTTGAAATATGTTTAAATATATATTTCAACGTTTGAAAAATCTATTAACAATAATGTGCGAGGAGAACATTCATGAAATAAGCACCTCTTTGTAGTCTAAGCCAGAAGATCCCCATTAAGTCTGGTTCCGTTAGAAAAGACCGCTCACCGGAGCAAGCCGTCTATCACTCACATTACTACAGTGCACAAACAAACAAATCTAATACGTTTAAAAAATCAAACATATATCCTACGTGTATTATAAAATAGTAAATACTTTATTGGAAGACAAGACTCGGAACATTAATTTTCTTATATTTAATAATATATTTAGTTACAAATCTCCTCAAATTATAAAGGCTCGTTTTGTCAATATTTCACCTAATTAAATGTATCAATTTATCTGTAAAGATAATTTTGTAAATTTGTAGTTGATATTGACAATCTGTCTAATGTTGAGCAAATAATTTAATAATGATTAGAAATCACGCAGTTCGTTATCGTCAAATTTTGTTTGCATTAGATAATGCAATGGTGACGATAGAAAGACCCGTTGATTAAATATTAACTTATAATTATTCTTTGTTTTGAAAATTATCAAAATAACAGGGAAATTCCTTTTAAAATTATTACGATATTAATCATAATATATTCTGCTCACTTATACATTCTTCATTTAGTATGTGTCAAAAAAGTTTCGGTATAAATTTAATATTTTAAATATAAAGTATGTACATTTATTTAATTTACTATTCTGTTACATTTCTAAATATTAGAGATATCGACAGTTGTTCGTGATATATAAATTATTAAATGCAAATAATTAAACAAAAATAAAAAATTGTTGATAAATTACAATTCTAGACACTTAAAATATTACAATGCCAAAATTATTCATAAATAATATTTTTCTAAAAGAATTCAAATATTTTTATTATGTGCACCCGATAAGGTATAACTTTAATACTATAGAATATGTTCAATATTTGTTAGAGTCAAATTGACTTTGTGCTTTACCTTGCGACCCTGCCGTTTGGATGTTTTTCGTGAAACTTTAGACTCTCTGGTATCTTGCACTTGTTTATTGAGACCAAGTCTAAAACGCACAGGCACCTTGGTATCCAAAGTACTTTCATCTGCAATCAAATAGGAATTATTTCTATTATATTAAATTTCAAATAATATCGTAGTATAAATAAATCAACAGCATTAAATAGGAAAACTGTAGTGATGTCGCAAATAAGCAAAACGTGAATTTCTTTATTATCGTTGCTATTTTTATATATAGGAAAACTCAACAACTTTTACTATAACAATATATCAATAATATAGATACGTTGTACAAACCTTCCGAATCATGTAACTCAGGAATTGAACGACGAAGGACAGTAACCCTTCGCACTTCTTTTTGATTAGCTGTAAAAAAAAATCTATGAAATGAACGTATAAAATACACTAAATGAAAGAATCGATGTATATGTATATAAAGACGGTACTTTAGTGTAGTTAGCTAACGTATGTGTATGTATGTATATTACTTACATTTTTCATCTGCTTTCGCTAAATGTCTCTGATTCACCTTTGCATTACTCTTCACAACTCTGAAAAAATAGAAATTACAAGTTTATTTAAAAAAAAAAAATAATAATTTTTTTAATAATAAAAAAAAGTACACATTGTGTACTTAATTAATTATAGAGTATTTTACAGTGATTAGAGAGTGTAAACATGCAAAGCCAAATTGTAAAGTTTTGCATTATTTTACAATCTGAGATTTTATTTTTGAAACATAACTAGTTAAAATTTACTCCTGATATGCTATTTATATATCAGACAGTAACAGGAAATAAACAGGAAGTTATATAGCGCTGAACAAATGATAGCCCATCCAATTTTTTTGTTTATATTTATAAACATTGAGAAAATAACATTATCCACCTTGTATGTTTCTGTTATTTATAGTCCTATGAAAAAATTTGTCGAGGGGAATTTGTAATGGAGAACACAATTTTTTTCAAGTCCTTTTGTTTAATGAGATTTCAAGGTCATCTGTGTGTTTCTAAATGGAACACTACAAATGGTATTACACAAAGTCATCCAAAGTCACTGAAGGCAGTGATTTAAATTTATCGTAGAAAATGCTTAAATTCGAACATCATCACTACAACCGTCGATACAACCTATTACTACAATTTCATACAATATCATTCAAGATATGAAAAGTTTGGGTGCAACTCATTCGATGTGTTCTAATATTATTTCAGTATTATCAAACGTCCTATTTATAAATTTTCCAATAAAAGTATAAAGTTGAACGTATGTTATTTATATAATAGAATATTTAGATGACATTTGAAAGTTTACATTCTAATGTTAAGTGATATACCTTATATGTATAGGTAAAATCTGAAAAGAAACACTATAATGTACCTATTTCTACAAAAAGAAATACAATAATACTCACTCGTTAACAACACCTTTGAAAGCAGACTGCACTAATCTTGCAGACTGAATTGGCACTGTCCTATTTAGCCTTTCAGCTCGTCTTCTACTGAGTTCGGTTCTTAAGTCACTTTCTCCATCAACTGCTATATCTTCAAAAACGACATCCATATCTTCGCTCGGTCCATCCGAAACAACATCTTTACGTTTTTTACACTTCTTTTCTTTCCCAATGCGTTCAGAGAGGGGAAGTTCATTTTTCAATTTTCTTACTTGATACAATTCTTTATCACGTTCTTTATTTTTTTTCGAAGACCTCTCCTTCTCCACTTTTTGCGATTCTAAATCGATGCACGAATTAACAGAACTTGTAATAGCAATCGAAGAAGTAATCTCTTCCGTAGTTTCTTCAAATTCTTCGAACTCGTATTGAGTATCTAAACACAAATCTGATTCCTCGATAACATATTCTTCGGTAACTTTGTTGCCCTTACGCATATTCCCTAATTGAAGTTCTCCGCCTTCCGAAGATTCCACCTTCTTATTCGTATTTTCTTGTTTATTTAATTTAATTTTCTTATTCGCATTTATAGGATCTATAGGCCTCGTAGATTCAAATTTCTTTCGCCTGGCTTCTAACACGGAATCATTAATCGTATCAGAAGTCTCCTTTTCTGTCACATCAATTTTCTCAAAACTGTCTTCTTTTTGTTTCATTTTTATACGATTTGTCTGTGGCGATATTCTGCCTTTAAGTATCGGAGAAGATTCTTTCGCGTACAACGGACTATCTGGCTCATCTGGACTAACCGATCGTAATCCATGCTTTCGAGATGCTTCTTTGGGCGACCATTTCGGGGATCTTCTTCTTCTAGGAGAAATACGGGGAGAATTTCTCGGAGACGACCAGGGTGATCTATGCGGTGATAGTCTAGGTGATCTAGACCGCGGTGACACTCTTCGCGGTGATACTTTCGGTGACAACAAACGTGAGAATACTCTTCGAGGAGACTGTGCTGGAGATTTCGATTTCGGCGATGTCCTGCTAGAGGGTGATATTCGTCTTGGAGATAATTTGGATGATCTTGATCTTAAAGGTGATTTACACTGTGGAGATAATCTAAGCGGCGAGAATTTCGGAGAATGCGATCGTGTTAATCTTGGAGATCTAGTCAACGAGGTTTTTGGTGAACGTATTGGTCTAGGAGATCTGGAATGCGGCGAAAGTCTTGGTGATTTCCCTCTTGGAGATGATTTCTTAATAGGCGATCTTCTCATCGGAGATCTGTTGGGTGATCTACGTGGTGATGATCGTGGTGATCTAGATCGTGGCGATAGTTTTGGTGACCGTGAACGCGGGGAATATCGTAATGGGGATTTTCGAGGTGATCTATACCTCGTTATTTCTCGTTGAAATTTCTTTGACTGCCTGATAGGTGATCTTCTAGGAGATCTTCTAGGTGATTTCTTTCTTGAACGCGATCTGGGTGATAACGACCTACGTTTTTGTGAAATTCGGCTAGTGTAAGGAGACATTGACCGTCTTTCGTTTTTTAAAAGTGTTACCATTGAAGCTGAATTATAACAATCTTTTTTACTATTACAGTCTTCTACTCTGTTTTTTTTATTTATATTCCTGCCTACATCATCTTTTTTCATCGATTCTTTGCTTCCCTTCTTATTACCTTTCTTCTCTTTTAGATCTGACGGTTTGTCAACATTCATCTCTCTTTCCATTTCATCCATTAAGCGCTCTAAACTATCTTCCTCTTCGAGATCAGCCATGAGAAGTATATCATCGTCGTCATCGTTAATGTCCTCTTGATGATCTTCGTCAGCTTTTTCCAACTTTCCTGCAGCCTCTTTTCTGCTATCAACTGTCGTACACGATGTTTTAACGTTCACATCATCCTTTTTAATTGTTTCTATTTCCGTGATCGTGTGCCTATTATCTTGGTTATCTTCATCGTCCGAGCCACTGCCGTTGTCTTTAGAGCGATGAAACTTTGATATGTCTAAAAATATTATTTTTATACAATTTCTTCAAAGTCAAGTAGGATAGGACAAATATCAAGAAAACCGTTACATCTTTATAATATATATAAAATATGCTACGTACCCGTAGAATGCGATTGAACACGTGGACCAATTTTATCTACGGAGCAAGCTAAATCGGTTTGCTGAAGCAGAGAATGTTCATCTACAGGAACTATTGCTATTAAGTTTGGATTACGTGGACTCTGATAATATACATTCTGTAAGTAAAGACATGTACAGTTACAGTATTTTAATAACGATTTTTCTACTTTTTAAGCATTTACTAAAAAGTTAAATTGAAATTATTTTCATTTGCTACTCCTATGTATTCACTGCTACCTCTCAAAATCTCATTTTTATTCGTTTACTATTTCAATAGTTATAATTTTTCGGAAAATGATAATACACAACTTTAAACAGTTATAAAATCAATCACTTTCAAAATTTCGAAAAATCCCTTGACACGCGTTCAAATATCGCTGGAAACTACAACATATCAATATTTTATCAAAATCTGAAATGGTACTCCAAAATTATCCAAAAAACAGAAAAATAATAACATAAAACCTATTATCATACAGATTATAACATGCTCTAGTTTGAGGAAAATCAGTGACCAATTTGGTTCAGAATGGCCTGAACGCTTACCCATCGCGACGTTATTTGTTCATCTTTGTAAACTATTAGAAATATTTTTTTCTAATAACAGACACTTTTTAAGCAATGTCTCATCGGGGAAAAATAAGTTTATTGCAATATTTCAGCATATTTGTAAGAATTGAACATAAATTGAGGTATGAACTAGTTTTGCAGTTTCCTTGGTCACAAGATATAACATCACTGGATTTTATTTATAGAGTTACATAAAACATTAAGTAATAGCTGTTACCCCTACCACAACAGAACATACGAAAACAACAATTTATATCGCTCATACATCAAAAGTAATACTGGTAAAAGAATTTACAAGAATAAAAAAAAAGATGACTCACAATATATAGATTTTGATGTTCTTTTCACTCGTTTTACGAGCATTCAGATTTTTTTCTTGAAAAATATTTTTCATCGCATTTCTTTAATTGTATAAAATGTAGAAAACATTTAACTAAATGTTGCTTTCTCTTTAAACGGTTATTCGAAGTCGTAACAACTTTATATAAGGGAAAGTGTAGAAATTATCAGCGTTTTACCTTTTAGTATATACTATTTTTGTTGCTGTTTCTAATATTTTCCAAGAAGAAAACTTGTAACATTTCATATGGTCAAACCTACATATTTTAATGTATTATAGTCTGTTACAAAGGTATAAATCATAAACATTTGGCAATGTTCTATGAAAAACATTTATAAATAAATGATATTGTATAGAAACTTATTATACAACATTAACCCTCATGTGATATTGTTGGGTCCAATGGTTCCATCTGAACATTTTTAAACCAAAAACAAAAAACATATCTACTTCACCCTATTTCTCCACTTCAGTGAAAAAGATTTTAGATTTTCAGTAAGGAATAGATTCTTGCAATGATTGGCAAATTTTTTATTTCCCTTTAAAAAACTGTAAGTTCATAGGACACATAATGCCATTTATATAACTGTTTCCACAACATCATTTAAGAGTTAAAAATGTATACTATCAAATAAGGTGTTACAACAAAATTTAAATATATGACATTACTAAAAACTTACTCCATTCTGCCGCTGTTGTAATTGATTCGGGAAATATCCTCTTCTTGAAGATTGCTGTCTTTTATATGGTAGACAAGATGTTTGAGTAACTTCTGGTATTACCTTCTGTAATTGTAGTGTGGTCTGCTTTTTGTAATGTATAGTGGCTTTTGCTCTTAGGGACTGAAGAGCTGCTAATCGCAATGCCTCTAAATCTTCATCATCCTCGTCATCATTCTTTGTACTTTGCTATAAAAGAAAAATTATAAAAATGAAAAATGACTAAATCAATTTAAATATAACATCTATTACCATTAATGAAAGTTTTATTTCTTAAATTGTTTAATAAATTTTTATAAGAAACAATGTCAATAAATTTGGATGTTACTATAAGAGATATCAAAATAAAATCAAGATCTTTTCAAAGGTAACACATTTCTCAATTTCATAAATACATACAAAAAATTATACCATTTATTCCTTCACAATTTGTTTATTTCAATAATACTTTGACAATAGTTAATATATGCATATAAACAATTTCAATGGCTAAGTCATATATTTGAATATCAAAAAAATAATTAATTATTAATTTTTTGATTACTTTGAAATAAATTTTATAAATAATACATTATAAGCATAATTAGCATGTATATATATACATATATAATTTATACATATGTACATACATACATATACTTATATATACATGTATGTATAGCATATATATGTATATATATATATATATATGGGATATATATATATCTGCACAGGTCTGCGTTAATCACATAGAAATAAATTGTTTATATAAGGTTTATTAACTGGTATATCATATATATGCTTACCTTTTGACGATAATCCATTTTATCCGAGTTACAATTGTAGAAAAACTTATAGTTATCACTAACAACACGAAGATCCAGCAATAGCATTAATAACTTTATACTGTTTCCGAGAAGCTATGATTTACCTTAAGGATAATTATAATTTATATGACACTACATTGCAAGAATAAGCGTTTCTTTTGATTAAGTTTTTGATAATTGTAAATTCTACGAGTAATACTGCAGACTTTGTTACCCCCCACCACATATAAATAAAAATGGCGTAGGCGCCCTTAAAATTAAAGGCTTCGCTCATAACGTCATTTAAGATGTGCAACCATATTGCTTTATTCTTAATGGTTTCTGTGTGATCTGGGGTACTCCACAGGGAAATATAGAGGGAACTAGCATAGTAAAGTATTTCCCCTAGCAACTATTTCTCGCGACTCGCGATTGGCGTATAAAAATCGTAATTTCAAGTGAATTGTTTCTTGCTTCTTTCATATCAAAAACGGAAGGAAATGAAATCAAATTAGATCAATTCTATTTCGTTCCGTCGTTCAAATAGTTGATTCCATCACAGAGTATTCTTACAAAATCGAATATTCGGCATTTTTTAGAGTCTCATTATTATTAAGGATATTTTATTAGATCAAATTTAATTATGTTCCCTATATACGCATATTTCGTTTCCATTCTTACGGTGCTTCACAAATTCCTAGTGATGCTCTTCAACTTTCAAAAGGTTGACAGACACTGTCCTAAGGAACATAAATATAGCTACGATACCTTAGGAATATCGATTGATATCGATAGGAATGTGGTCAAATTGGAAATGAGATGCTAACACGAACTTGATTATTCTATTATAAATTATCCACTGTTTGCATTTAATGTTAGAGATTGCAATAGAATTGAAATATGGCGTAGTCAACATGAAATTCTATGTATAGAGCGACCAAGGACGTTCGAAGCTCTATCTTGGGATTCTTGGGTATCATGGGGTATCACTATCTTGAAGTTTGCTGTATGCCGTAACAACAGTTGAAAATGTGATGTAAGGGATGTTGTCGTAACCTATATTCTTTTATTGTTATTTAATAAATTATTTTTTACTATTGAAACTGCAAACAAAATTGTTTATACAATGACACTTATAAAGGAGGGAAGTAAAGAAGAAACAGTTGAAAATAAGAGTGATGAACAGATCAAACAATCCGATCTTTATCCAGAAAGGAGAGGACAGAAACCTCGTAGTTGGCTTAACAGAGTGTTTTACGTAAAAGAACGAGAAGAACTAACGAAGCTTAAATGTGAAGCAAATGTTTATAACTGCATAAAAGAGAGTACGAATTTTATAATCGTGTTTATACATTTAATATCTTTTTTTGATTTCTATTCATTCGCAAATCTTTTTTTTTTTAAATATTTTTAATTTATCACTCAAAGAATTAATTGCATGAAATGGCAGTAAAAGAAGATTTCATTTTTTAAACTTATCCCAGAGGTATTTGCCTTTTTTAATTTGTATCCCAACAATTTTATTTAACAAAGTTTGTAGTTATTGTTTCTATATCAGTCACCACATTGTTGTAACTAGAACAACATTAAAATGTCCATGGGTTCATATTTCTTGAACATATTTTAATTAAATTGTGTGTTAAAATGGTTAAAGACTATATACATTTTAGGTGCTCTCGTTAAACTTATGATGGCAGCACTAAAGAGTGCAGGATGGTATGTAATATTATATGTTTATATTTTATATTTTTGTTTCATTGTTTGAATCTTCATGCTTTGTACAAGTAGAATAAAAAGGCTATTAAGTATTAAGTATATATATTTTGTTATTGCATTATTGTTGTTATGTTTAGATCATAGTCAAATATTATTACAGTGAAATTGACATTCGTCGTCACATTTCATGTGAAGTATGTGATCTATCAGTAACTGGTGGGTATGACCCAGAACTAAATCAGGTGATTATTGTATGAATGGCTTTCTTATAAAACATAATTAGCATATAATAATTTATGTATATTTCAGATTGTAATTTGTCAAAATAATGTATCTAAATCAGTTGTTCAAGGTGTTCTAAGTCATGAAATGATCCACATGTTTGATTTTTGTCGTAATAATTTGGATTTAAATAATATAGACCACTTAGCTTGTACAGAAATAAGAGCAGCAAATCTGTGTCATTGTAGTTTTATGAGTGCTTGGATACAAGGACTTGCTTCACCTTTCAATATTAAAGAAGCGCATCAGGTAAAATAAATTTGTGTTTCAAGCTCATTATGTTTATTTAATTAATTCGATTATTTATACACGCATTTATAATATATTTTTTCTAGAATTGTGTAAAAGACAAAGCTATAAAATCAATACTTGCTGTACGGAACGTCTCGGAGGATAAGGCACGCGAAGCAGTACAGCGTGTTTTTCATAGATGTTATAATGATTTAGAACCTGTTGGAAGACGACTTCGTAGAAATTCACTTGACATGGATAAAGCGTATTTGGAAGGACCATTATACGGATATTCAAATTAAAATAATTTTTAAAAATATTCTGGCTTCTATAATTTGATGATTTAAAATAAATAGTAAATTTGTATTATAAATTGCATCATTCTAAATCACTCTGGGATACGGAATATTTATAATATACACAAGTAAAATATATCAATTTTTTTATGTTAAATGAAAATACGTATAATTACAATTGAACTAAAGCGCCTTTTCGAAAATCTTGTATTATTACGGTGCATATCCAATCCCGAGGTAAAAATTTATCGATGTGTATGGATCGTCATGATACTGAGCAATGTCAACCCAAGAATTTAATAATACAGCACGTTTGTCTTTTATAAAATCTTTTATCCTCTTAAATGACTAACTTCATATTTGAATCTAGTTTCCATCCAACCATCTTTGACTATCGATTATCGATATTGCTACGGTATCGTAGTTACATTCACGATGATACTCCTTAGAACAGTGTTTCTCAATCATTCGGTAGTTGCAGAACATTATTACGAGTTTATGAAGAGTTTCTTTAAAAGATGCGTGTGCGCTTAGAATCAGAACATGAAAAACGCTACAGTTTCGCCTCTGTAAAAGTGCTCTGTGATATTACATATGTAAAATAATTAATATAGGGCTCAAATTATTTATTCTAACCAGTTCTCCATTTTCATAAATCATTCATCAATCAATCCTATATGACCAAATTGTACAATTTGGCATATAATTAATCGTAATATGTTTGAGTTGTTATATATATATATTGAATAAAAGTACGAAATGGAATTTGAAGTACAGTTGAATTTCCCTCTATACATACCCTTACCTCCGCCTTTATTTTGCTTCTGAGTCAGCCCGCTTGTGGCGTTTCAAGGGGCCCCATAAAACTTTGAGAAATTTTATCTATTGCTGGTGCATTTCTCGTTTTGTTTCAGTATAAGTAGTTATATTTAGTTTTTTTTTTAAGTTCGAATTGGGTGAAGTTTTATGCGATACTAGTATACTAGCCAGCAATGGTGATTCATTAACAATAATGATTCATTGTATCTTACATGTACACTGAATTTAATTGAAGGTAAACAATATTCAATTAGTTACAATAACTCAATAACGCAAAAAATGAGGATTTTAATTAGTTTTACGATCTACCTTAGCATACTACTGCATTCCATAACTTCTCTGTTATGCGCATGTTGTGTTAATATTTTTTAAAGTCACGCCCTCGTAGTTCACATTTATTAAAAACGAACTATGTACTGTGATATTTTATATAAAAAATCATTATTCAAGTATATTTGAAACAAGCTGGTAGGAGTAAGAAAAAATATTTACCTTGAATTTTAGTGTCTTACCAAGTAAAATAAAATAGTTAGGACCCTAATTTAATAATGTTATGTAATTACAGGAAACATAATAATATATCAACCAAGTCGAAAAACGCTTAAGAATGTATCGTATACAATTAATTTTGATATACACTCTCATCGTTTCAAATGGTGTATTTTCTCAAAATATGATATACGGAGAGATATTATATCAATGTCCACAACATTGGATACAATCTCACGATTCTTGTTATCGTTTTATAAAGAGTCCTATTAGAGAAAGGGAGGAAGCTAGAAAAAATTGTCAGGCTTATCAAAGTGATCTTGTTACAATTAATTCTTTGGAAGAACATGGATTTCTATTGTATCAACTATTGTGGCAAGATCCTCAACATCGTAAATGGTACACTGGTATAAAACAACAAAATGGAAACTGGATAAATGAAGGTGATAATACTCAGTTGTTAAGTATGGATAATGCATTTTTGCCTGAACCAAATGATAATGTATTTGGTAGAGATTATCTAGTATATTCTTATCATAATAACTTACAACGTTGGGGACTGGAGAAAGTAACTGGCAGAGAAAAATTGTTATACATTTGCGAAGCTCCAATTTCTACTTTGCACAATTTACTGGAAGATGATCGTACTTATCAATATGGTATTGAAATTGATAATCCTAATAAAATTCCCAGAGGTCCATATTTTATTAAGCAACCTGTTGATAAAGTATTCGATGTATCAAAAAGAAAGATAAGCAATGATGTTTCATTGAGTTGTTATGCAGGTGGTTACCCTGCACCAACATATGAGTGGTTTCAAGAAGAATATGAAAATGATAGACTCATTGCAACAAAAATAGACCCACTACAAAATGTTAGATATACTGTAAGTGGTGGCACTTTAATTATTTACAAACCTGATCAGGTAATTATATACTAAATACTATTAAAATTTATGTTTTAAGTGTAAATGATGTTATAAATATAACACAAATGCTTTTAGACAGAAGACAGAGGTTCATACCATTGCAAGGCAACAAATAAATTTGGTACAATTATATCTGAAAGCGTAGAATTATCGTTTGGATATATATTAGAATTTAATTTAAAACGCTCTGAAGAACGGGGAGACCAAAATTGGGGCAAAGCTGTATATTGTGATCCACCACAACATTTTCCTGGAGTAAGATATTATTGGGCACGCGACTATTTCCCAAATTTTGTGGAGGAAGATAAACGTGTCTTTGTTTCTCATGATGGAGCACTTTATTTCTCTGCATTGGAAATGATTGATCGTGGAAATTATTCTTGTAATGTCCAAAGTGTTGCCTCTGATACTGGTCGTAATGGTCCATTCTTTCCATTGAGGGTTGATCCACATTGTAAGTAACTAAACATCTGAACTCCATGCTGTGTTCTTAGTA